GGGGTGTAAAAGTCCGTTCTGACCAGACCGCTCACTCTCCGACTCTTGCCACCCCCTGCCGGTCCATGCTCGTTCAGGCCAGAAAGTTATTTGTTCCAAAATATGTCTTTCATACTTGCTGATTTTGCAGGGCCCTTTGGACAGCACGTGTGACCCCGGACGGCCACCGTCACCACGTCCAATGATTGCGCCTACCTCAAATCTGCTCAATGGCCCAAGATGTAGTTTCCCGTAGAGGGCAAACATGTTATTTGTGGCAAGATCGAACCTGCAACACCTCAGGTCGAACCAGTTACTCGGTCTGTGGTCCAGCTCTCAAATGACGCCCACTTGTTTGAATTGCTTGCGACTCCCAGCGTCAGAACAAAGAATGCATAATAGAAAGTTGTTCCTGCTAAGCTATTATCAGGAAGACCTTGTATGCCGACAACAGGGGCTTTCTATATGCCTTTGTCAATCAGTCTTTGCACTATGCTCTCAGGCCTCGCATCCAAACCAATATTCAGCGCAAGCGGCGCAAGGGCATTTGCAGTGCAGGCTGAGTTTTTGTGGTCCCTCTGAGACTGCTTGTTTATCTTCCAGCTTTCTTTCGCAGAAAAGTTGCGCTTGAAACTTGGCTTACAAGCCTTACACAGTCAGGTGACGCCATGAGGCCAATGCCGAAATATGCCGAAAGCCTCACTGGAGTGGACCCTTCGAGAAACTCATCTACATTCTTGTGGGGTGAGTTGTGACTTGTTGGAAAGCCCAAAGTTACAAACTATGTTGCGCGCAAGCCGGAATCCACTTGCGGTGTGAGCCAAGAAGGTCTTTGTAGCTTAAATGGCAGAGCCATGGGCCAATGAAACATTGCAAGGCGGAGGAGCCAAAATTAGCTCCCAGCCAGGAAATGCGTTCAGCAGAGCCTGGTGCCTGGCACTCACGCGCGAAAAGATTTGGCCGATACAGCTGTCGAAGTTCAGCTTAGCTGCCAGTAGAGTTTTTCGCGAAAGGTAGCGTCAGCTACCTGAGTTGTCTTTGCTTTAGCAATCATGTATTGGGGGTGGTGAACGGTTCCTGCGCTTGATTTCGGTGGTTTAAGAGTTGGTTTTAAATGTCGGGGGGTGAGGGGTAACTTCCCCCAAGTGGCAGTAGAGTATACTGGACCTGATCGAGTACACCAAGTAAGACCTAATGACAAGTGAGTGTGCGAGCGGCAGCGATGCACACTGTTTTGCTATGTCTGCAGTGCAGTATTGGGCTTCAAAGTCTTGAGCCAAATGAATTACAGCGGCAGCTAACTGAAGAGGTATGTACAAGATCTAACTACAATCAACAGGTGCTACACACGTATAGCGTAGACACGCCTAGGGGGACCTAGGACCCTACAAACACAAAACAGACACAAATTTTCTTCGCGTCGAAGCTTACAGCTGCAAAAAGTACAAAAGCTTGCAGGAGCAAACGAGTGCAAGTGAATTACAAAAGTTCCGGCTTCGCAGAACTTGACCGTAGATGCCATTCTGGCCCATTGATCTATAGCGTCAGACTTTCTATACGAATCTACGATAGGCATATTCTTGCTGTCAAACTTTCCGTAATGTCGGAAGTTCATTCAAGGCTTTTCAAATCTTTAAAGTTAAATCAAATCTTACAAAGGCTTTTTGCTGTTCCCTGAAAATGCTTTAATCAAGTCTATTGCGCTGGAAATACTTGGGCCGAATCTTTTGCAACGCTCTGAAAAGCAAATGCTGGAATGTCGGCTACGCGTGGACGTCTTCTACCATCTGCGGTAGCCTCCGTATCCGGAGCTCCAAGAGTGTCCGCTCTGCCACCAGGATGAGCCTGAGGTCCTGTAGGCTCTTGTCTTCTTGCGTTAGTGCGCTCCTTGTCCTTCTGGCGGCGATGAGCTTCAGAGGCTTCTCCGCGCACACGGATGCTGGACCTAGCTGCCAACGAGAAATGGAAAGGATGATGGAATGCCTCATCGCTCGGCTTGAGACAGAAATCCAAGTGATTTAAGTGCTTGAGAAACTCGTTGGGCTTAATGGTCGTCTCCTTTTGGCGTGGAGGTCCAGCATATCCGACTCTGCCTCGGTCTTCCGGAATGTCGGATGACCTTTTTCGCAGTGCGCGAGTGTCCTTACCGTGATTCAGTGCGATCTGCATCAAGCAGTCGAGGCCGTCGGCGTCGCGTCCTTCCAGTGCGGCGAGTTGCTCAGTAGCGAGGGTTGAAACTTCCCAATTATAAGTGATATGCTTGCTGGACTCGCGCAACTTGTTTGCAGAAACAAAAATTTGGTCTAAGATAGTGAGGACTGCGCCGGTGGCTGGATCGGAATGTTGATCTTGCCTGAAATTACGGCTGGCAAATTTGCATCACACACAATGACGTCCACCTGGCCCGCCACAGCAGTTACCAGAATTTTGGTAAGAGCTGACTTGCCTGCCGTTATGCCGTTGGCAAATGCATAGGAGTTTAATTAAGTGAAATGCACAGATTCGTAACTCAGGAAAGTGCGTTCTCTTACAATCAGCCAGGCGTCCAGTCCGGAATGGGTTCCGCCTGGAGAAAGGTAGTTACGCCCTGGACTACGCCTAAAGCATCAGGGCAGACAACTACTCCCAAGGGTCCTCGCCTTCTTCCAAAGCTTGGCGAAGATTCTTGGTTGTGGTCCTGGAGGTGATACAGGTGGCTGAGCAGGTTTGGAAGGCACGCGACCGTCAGAATTCCAGAAAAGAACACAGCTCCAATTACACTCCACCAACTTCGACAGATCGTCAAAAGGATGTGATTGGATATACAACTTAGTTGTAGCCTTCTTGCGCCATAAAAACAGTACACCTGCAGTGTGTCGGTACCTGACCTTTAACGGTTCAAAAGTACCTAGGAGAATTGCGGCGTGCTCAAATGCCATTGTAGGTGCAAAAATCTGGCGCATATGTGAAACATCGTGTGCAATGCGCAATGACTCTGACCAAGGATTATACTCATGCCCCTTAGGGAGTGAGTTGACTCGGTTCATAAGGCGCCGAACATAAAAATCCTTAACTGTTACACTGTCAGATTCACTGAAGTGAACAAATTCTCGATCCGTGTTTTCCATCAGGAAGCTCTGCAGTGACTCCAGACCGGAATGTCGAGTCCGTCTAGCAAATCGACAACTACGGTAGTCTGCGCGTGGAACAATCCATGATGGCTTCCCAGCGGCGAAAGACAGCGTAAAAGAGAAGTTGGTTTGTTGTAGTGATAGCCATTAGCATTAGGGTCCTTCATTCCAAATGATCACATGTCAAGAGTGCCATAGGTAACACCATATTGCAACAAAAGCCGTTGAAATATCTGGTGTACCACAATGCTGATGAAGCTGGATTCCCAATGATAAATGGCCTCCGTGTCCAATCTGGAATATGGCAATGCGACAGCAAAACTCTAACATTGGAAGAAACTTCTGTCGTCGCTGATGTCTGGCATGGCGATCATGGATATTGGTCATCTGACTCCAAGGAGCACAGTGCGGCGCCATAAAGATGACTTTAGGCTTCTGTTTCTCGATGATTCCATCGTCCTCTTACGACCGTCACTGGTCAAGATATCGAAACCTGTTCTGAGGTCCAGAGGTTGTCCAACGCGCAAACCATTCATGGCAGCTACTTGACTCAACCGTGCTGAACCTGCGAACAGTTCAAGAAAATCAATCTTGCGAGACATGACTGGTTGCCATGCATAAGAGGAATATGTAAAGCCTTCAACGCCGATCTGGGCTCCGTCGCTCTGGACTAAAGAGCTGGCATGGTCAGAGACCGGAATGTCGGTCCGTGCACTCTCAGAACTCAATAGTGCAATCGGATCGAGCGGCGCCTCAACATCTTCAATCGGATTTATGTCCTTTCTGACCTTGCTGATGTTGACCTTCAATATTCGGGCGCCCAAGTCTATACCAACCATACTTCCATCAGAACTGATAACCTTGCCTTTGATCCATTTACCACTGTGAGTTCCATCTGATTTTACCTTGGATCTGTCTTCTGTCCAATCATAGATTTTATCTCCAGGGTAAAATGGACTGTCACTCAACTGAAGTCTTGCAGAAATGTCTCGTCTCAAATCGTCTGATTGCTTGGCTTCTAGATAAGACTTCATGGCATGTGTTCTGAGGGCATCAACGTTCTTTTCAGGAGAAGGAAGTGAAGCTGTTAGCTGTTCAGGTGTCATGTTCTCTGGATACAAAAGATCAGCAGGTCCTCTTCCAAATGCCATCTCCAATGGAGATACTCCACCAAAAGTAACCATTGAGTTTCTGGCAAGTGATGCTTGCCTGAGGAGTTGACGGCACGTAATTTCGTATCTGGATGACCGACCCTCGCTGCCGCACCTACAAGAAACTCCGGGAAATTGAAGATACAGTGCAATGCGCCTCTGACCAGATTAGATTGTGGAACCGTCTGTACAATGATCGATTGCTGTTCATGATTGAGACGGACATCCTGGTGAAGAAGCAGAGGGAAGAACTGGAAAGTCTGGACAAGATCAAACAGTTGCAGAAGAGGTTTCTGGACTATGAAGTTCAGGACAAACAGATCCAATCTCCACTTGCGCTGGACAGAGAAAGAAACAAGTTTGTGCTGTTGCCCGAGAAGCAGCACGGTGCTTGGATGTTTTGCAGCCCCTACTATCCTCACCGCGATTGAAGATTGCGGAGGGCCCATTTCTGAATTTTCTTCAGACAAGATGCGGTTTAAGAGATGGGTCTAAATAAAAGACTTTCCTCCCGTGTCAATGCCACGAATGCACATTGGCTCATTTGAGATTCATTTGATGTTTTCCAACCGCTGTCGGGCTTACGAGGGCCCTTGACCGCCAATCGACCGCTACTGTATGCCTTTCGCAAAACGTGCTTGCTTTGTGACCGAAGGGATCGAGGCTTCGAGGGCTTGTCATCCCCTACAACGAGACCTTGGGCATGGCAATGACATCTGGCATGTTCATGGGAGCGGCATCAACTTGTGCAATTATTGAGGCAACGACTAACGACTGCCACGGTGCAATGGCTGTGGCTTCAAGAGTCTTCGGTAAAGAAATCCATTTGCGAGGCCGCTCGCGCTGGCGCGTATTCAAAGATGGTGTGTGCAGTTGCTTTGGTGCGTGGTGAAGCGAGATTTTCATAGATTTTATACAGCAGGTTACATGTCATCCAGATGCACAAGGGCGTGACAGTACCCATTGTGCCCGCCATTCAGTTGGCTTAAGGGACCATGCCCTCCCTCAGGGTTTTTGTTGGCCAACGCCCTTTGCCCGTCGCAGGACAACTTAGCATTTCATCGGAAAGCGGCGTCTCCCTTCACGCTGAAGGTTTACGAACGCATTCGCTTCAAGTTCCAATTGTTGGTTGACGGAACCTTTTCTGCTCTGCAGGAAGGCTTTCCATAAGAGAAGATCAGGCCTGTGCAAAAAATGCATGGGGGCATTTGTGGAAGCAGTGCAGCAGCTCTTCCAAATTGACGTAGCAGGGGTATGTTGCAGCGCAGAAGATTGCTTCCAGGGGTGGGCAAGCCAAGCAAGATTGGCGACCAGGTTTGAGCCCTTATGACTGTTTAAAATGGCGATGCTCTATATAGTTTATAATATATATATACATATTGTTTTTTTGCTCACGGCCAGGGACATGTTTTGCAGAAGTTCAAGTCATTTCAACGTATTTGTTGCTCAGACATGCTCAGACAGCCTTCCTGTTCGGATTGTCAATCCGCATGTAGCGTGAGAATACTTTGTGCCAAGAAGAATTTGTCTCCTGTTTCCGACTTGTCTCCCTTTGTCTCCCTACACCTCGCCCTACATGGCCGGATGACTCGCAGTCTCTCTACTTCCTGTTCTTTTGTTCCAACATGACTTGAATTTATATAGTAATTTCGTTTTTAACCTCCTATCGTAATTGCATGTATTTGCATTGACTGCAACGTGCGAGGTCTGCGCTCCCCAAGCACCGGTTGCATTATCACACTTGTGTTTTACATGAAAACCGATTCACCAGCGGCACTTTTCTCGCTCAGTACGCAACGCCGAGTTGTTTGGTGACATGCGTTATGTTGCTATATGTTGCTATGCTGTTGCTGCTGCGCGTTGTGATTGTGTTCTCTTTATGCCGCGGCTCCACAGAAAGTCTTTTTGTGCGTGATGCTGGAAGTTAGCTGCAGTTAGCTCGTTCACGCTGTCGCTGTGTGGCGGCCCTTTTTGTTTGGAGTGGGGTCACTTCAGAAGATCATGTAAGCGAAAATGGTGAAGATACGTTTTTGACTTTGAAACTCCTTCTACGCAAGGCTGTGACGTTGCAGGGGTTGGAAGTGCTTTTGCTGTTGCTGCGTTGCGCATTTGCAGCGCAGGGGCCGGAAGAAGTTGCTGGCAGCAAATGCGGATGTGATATCCACGACGTAAACATGTGACGTATGCATGCAAATAGTTGCGACCAGCTGCTTCTCATCCAAAGCTCTTTTTGGTGTGGAACTTAGCAACAATATGCAACAATCAGTCATTGCAGCTAATGACTAATGCTAGTTTCTCATTCTATATAATCGTAGCGTAGATTCGTCAGCAGTTTGGCTCAAAAATATCAAGCAGTGCTACCATGGGACAGGCGTTCAAACCTGGCATGAGTATCAGCACCCAGTATGGATGCTTCCAAGCACGACAGAGCCAAGTGCATTCCATGAATGTTTAATATTCACTTTCCAGGGAATCTGTCCATTCCATTCAGGAAGTTCAAGGGCTTGCGGCCGAGATGATTGCAGACGAATCTGTTGCCGAGTTCATATCGCTGGCAGGGACAAGCGATGAGGAGGTGGACCAACACAAAAAAACTTCCTTGACGAGAAAGCCTATATCCGGTATAAATCTCTTTGAAGTACTGGTGAGAGTCCGGCGCTGACAGGGACAAAGCCTCATCGTGCCTTGCCGTGCTCACACAGAGTGACTATGCAGTATCGCGACAGGTGACAACGGCGCAAGAACAGGTCCCGCGAGCATGTCATGTTGCAAAATTGCAAACACTTAGACAAAGGAAAAGGATCGAGGAAGAGGAAGAAAAGGATGAATATGCGGATAATATCTGCCAAACTCATCAAAACTCAACTAAATTCAAAGTGAATAGGTCGATACGCCCGTTCAAAATCGCCGCCAATGAAATTCTATTAGAAACAACAATCTACAAAGTTGTCAAGCATGTTTGCAGCTCCAAAGTGCAAAGCAAAGCGTCACGTGCTCCAAACCCAGTACAAAAGCAAGCACCCAAAGCAAATCAGATGGAATGAGATGGCCTGACAGGGTCCTCGGCGCACCCTTTGTGACATGAAAACACGGAAAGGCATGCGTTTGACCACTCAATATTGTCCAAAAGCAAGGGTGCGTGAGGTGATCAATTTTCGTGACCGCGCATGTTTCGTTGTAGTGCTGTTGAGCGCCCCGCATGGCTACTCCATTCGGAGGCATGTTCGGCACGGTGCCATCAGTCTCCCAACATAGTCTTGAATCTTGAAGCTCGAGCAGTTGTCGAAGCTCTGGCTCCCCTTCTCAAGTCGCCCACTTTGAGTTGGCACCCTTTACCACGGTTCATCGTTACACTGTGCTTGCACAGTGCAGAGTCCTCACGAAACCGGAGACTAAGGAAACTCCAGCCGCCACTTGTCAGTCATGAAGTACCATGAGTCGAAAAGAAATGATGCATTATCCACTGGAGTCAGTGCAAATGTGCAGGCCCATTCCATCCGCAAGCGAAACTGCACACAGTAGGCCATGCATGCTGCGTGATCCCGCTCATGTGCGCAAAGCTCTTCGCAACTCGAATTGATCTTGATGTGCTAGTGGAGTACATGTCACACACACGACAAAAAAAGAACGTGATGGAGTTTTGATTGTGGTCGCGGCTAGGCGAGAGGCTATTTGGAGATGGCGGGAGGAAACCTGCAGCAGGCAAAGTTTTGACATTGGTCATGCAAGTGATTTGATTAGGATCTATTTCAATCGGCTTTTGTCCTTCCTGCACAGGCCATCGGCCTGTTCTTTGAGATGGGAGGCTCTGCGTCCTCGCCAGCTTCAACCTCAGCACCCCACAATTGCAGTTCGACACGAAAAGAGAGATTTAGGCTCTACCGGCTCAAAGGCCTTCGTCTCCAGAACCTTGGCATGGAAAAGATTACTGTACACACATTGCTGCGCGTATACTGGCGGTAGCTAGTAGTTGATCCTTGCTCTCACACTCTGTGATGGGGTGAGAGGGGGTCCCCGAAAAAATCCACAACCGCTCCTCCAAGATGGCACCCAGCGTCTTAAACGTCAGCTGGTCACTGGCCAAAAGTTATTGCTGGCGCACCCCCCAGAATAGCAATGAAGACAATGACGTTTACTCCAAGGAACCATCACTCGACCCAACTTCTCCAACCCTCCGTGGCCACAAGGATGCCATGGCAGTGATACTGTATTCGGTTGTTTGGGTTGTTCAGAATTTCATGTTTCGGCCCTTGCGTTGGTGAGCTTGCACACTATGTCACCAGTGTTGCGACAGCTGGAAACTGGGTCAAAGAAATGGCAAGTGAAACGGTTCGTCCCGTACTGGCTCTCCGCTCGTCCACGTGATTAGAAATGGATCCAATCCAGGTGCTGCGCACTTTTGCTTACAAGCCCCAAATTGTCCCAAACCTGGTTTGCCTTGCGCAAGGGATCCATGAGCTCGAGGAAATTCAAACCTTGCAGAGGGGGCTTGCTGATGAAAACCAGACCGGGCTTCCACGGACCTCAGAGGCCTTGGGTCCAGGATTGTCCAGGATCCAGAGCTGCGTTGTTGCGTGTTGCCGCGTTGCAGTCAGAATTCAGTTTTGTCTTGCTTTGTGCACTGAGCAGTGTGTCAACATGCCCCAATCGTGATCGCGCCTTCTTGCAACAGCCATTATTGCAGTGGCACCATGCCACAAGCAGTAGACCAGGCCTTGCCATCCCTTCACGTAGTAATAATATGATGTTTGGCACGACATGTCGGGGATACTAAGTGGGTTGGACTGGACTTCAGACTTCCAATGATGTGGGGTGAGGTTGACTACAATGAAGATGTTGCGGCTGAAGTTAGAGCAGCTGCTGTCGCCGCTGGAATAGATGCAGGAGCGCTGTCACACTTGGATTGCTTTTTTGAGTCCGTCGCTTTGTTAACGTGCTCAACTGAAGGGCTTTGCCCTTCTTTTCCGAAGGCCCTTTGGGAATGCAAGACGAGGTAATGGTCTGCATCCCAGTGCCAGATTTGCGACACGGAGAGCATTGCGAGAGCAAACATTTAAGGAAGGAGCCATTGGAACGTAGCAGACCTCTTGTGAGCCACCCAAAGGTAAAATTTAGAGGAGGAAGCTGCCATTCCAACGTAGCAGAAATGTAGCAGACCTCTTGTGAGCCACCCATGGGTCAAATTTAGAGGAGGAAGCTGCCATTCCAACGTAGCAGACCTTTTGTGAGCCACCCGGGCATAAAATTTAACGTAGTAGACCTTTTGTGAGCCACCCAAGGGCCTAAGGGCAAAACTTAGAAGATGAAGGAGTCTTTCCAAGGCTGTGGATTCATTTATAGAAGTCTTTTGGAGCTTGTGTTCCAAATTGAGTCCAATCGCGCGTGCCAGCATGAGTCACCTCCCGCGCTGGGTTCCGGCGTTCGGGTAGCGCTGTTCCAGTCCAAGTAGCAAATAAAGCCACCGGCTTCAATCTCACGGTTACCGCAGATCAGTGATTTTGCACTTGGTTGCCAGTCGAAATAGATCCACCATTTTTGCATGTTTAAGCATGTTTTCCTGGTGTTGCTTCCATTTGGGCCATTGTTGGAAGGAAGAGGTGAGAGCTCCAATGCCATCATATCAGGACCCACCTAGACGGTGGCAGTTCTCATTCGCTAGATAAGGCTCAGTTGGTTTCGGTTAAAGTTCAGTTTGCTAAAGTCTCGCGCCTATAGGGAACCTAGTATGGAACCTAGAGGAATTGCCAACCTCCAGGATCAAATCATCGACCCTGAGCATGAGCAACGACGCATGGAGGCGCCGGTTTTCTCCATGGCTGAAGAGACAAATTGGCCCTGTTGAACTTACTTTGAGTTCACCAGACCCAAGGTGGATCAAGGTGGTGTTTGGTTTGCCCTTTTGCATTGACCACGACCCCCTAAAGCATAGTTGCTCGGAGGAAGCCATGGCAGCAGATTCGGCTGCAATGTATCAGCGTATGTCTTTCGACCGTGGCCATGATCCAGCTGGCGTGCATTCCTCAGCCAAATCGCATTCTAGTAACAGACCATCAGAGCGAGTTCTCGCAGGTCACTGGATGTTTTCAATGCGCCACAGGCAGCTGCAGGTGAGCAGCAGGATGAGCAAATGGGAGAGGGCAACGCTGGAAAGGCCAGCAAAGGCGATAATTGGCTTCAGTGAACTCAAAACTGACTTGTTCTCGAGGCCATCAATAGACTATTTGCGCCGCCCGAGTATAACGAGGCGCTGCTGCGTTTGCTTTCTTTCCTTTTGCTTTTCTTTCCTGTTGCCTCTCAGCTTGCAGAAAACTCCTGCTCCGATCAGGGGGCCTCATACTACCAGACGATTGAGAAGGCAAGTTGGACAGATGACTGCAGATTACTTTTTTCCTCAAATATTGGTAAGGGTTAAAGCGGTTAAGGCTGGGTTTGATCGAGGTTGCTTGCACATGCGATTGGAAAGCTGGTCCATACAATGTCAGAAGATGTCCTCCCAAAATGGCAAGATGGAGCCTCCGGCTTTCAATGAGAAGCATGAGTGTTGCGTATCCAAGCACAGTAGCACATTTGGTGTTTTTAAGCAACTCTACTTGTGGGCTGCCCTTTGGGTCAATAACTTCACAGCTTGACATAGCGACGAACAGGAAAAACTAAAGTAGCAGCAAAAATTGCTGAACGGCCACACGAGCACTGGTGATCCCCCACCTGAAGAGCCTATGGGCCCGCCTTTTGTCTATAACCTGGCAGCCCCCACACGTCATCTCTATAAAATGGCATGCCTTGACCCTCTCACTTGTAGACCTGTTGTGGAAATATTTCTATTGCCCACAACAGAATTCCTTATGGCAGGGTGAGCATTGCCAGTGGCCAACATTGAGTCTGTGTGCTTTTTGGCAACTAAATTCACAGCATCGAGGCCCAGTCCAGCAGGCTTGGCAGATCCTCGTAGGGCCTGGCAGCCCCGCAGCCCCACCTCATCTCTATAAAAGGGCTTGCCTTCACCAAAGGTCATGAAAGGTCTGCTTTTGGACGTGTTTACAAAAGGCACCTTGGGACCGTGGCCAACAATGAGTTTTTCACATTTATATTTACTTGCGGGTTGCCTTTTTGATCAATAAAACAACTTCATAGCATTTGGGCCCAGCCTGTCAGGATCTGGAAAGCCTATAGGTCCACCTTTTCTCTATAAAATTGCGTGCCTTGACCGCCTGTAGACTACTTCTTGTGCAAATATTTCTAGGGCGCGGCAGCATTACTTATTACTTTTGGCAGGGTGAACATTGTGAGCAAATTTTGGACGCATAATGAAAACATGTTGGAAAAACCAGCTAAGCAAACTGAAATGAAACCAGATAAGTCAAGCTTCAGAAAAAATCATCATAGATATATCACAGACAAATGATTCCCCTTTCTAATCAGAAAACAGAAAGTGACAAGTTTTTGAAATTCAATGAGAATCAAAGCAGAGATGTAGAGAAAATGTCCTTTGGTCTCCTCATTTATATACATTCATTTTGGGTATGGCCTGCTCAATTTATACACGTGGGGGGTTGGGTCCGTGACTGGTAAAATTGCGCCCTATGAGTCGATGAGCGCTTTTTCACAGTTTGCACGCCCGGATCACGATCCAAGCCACAGTCGTCCAATGACCGACGCTTTTTTTGGCCAGTGACCTGGAGTCGCACGCAGCACGGATATACTGGAGGTTAAATTTGGGAGCTCGTCACTGTGAGCGCGGGCTTTTTTCTGGGCTCGTTTATACTCAATAAATCAAAACATATATCATAGGAGCAAGAATATGGAAATGCAACAAAGTTAAAGAAGGAAATGACAGACAATATGGTTGGATGAATATTGAATGAATTGGGATGATATAACTTGATCTATTTTAAAGAGCGGGTGGTTTTTGGGGGGTTGAGTTTTGAAAGTTGTGATTCTGTAAGGTTTTGCTTATTTGTTGATGATATGGCCTTGATAGGGTTGTGAACGTTGTGAGTTTGAAATTTCTTGCTTTATTTGTATCTTGTAAGCATTTTGGTTTAACTATTTTTTAAATGGACATTTGGTCTTTACCAAAAAAATGTTTGTCTGTAACTATGCAATTCCTATGCAACATTGCTTTTAGAATTATCTTGTGAGTTGCGTTGCCTTTGTAAATTGCGATTTGACAAGTACATCCGCTTCAGAAGGTAAAGAGTTGGAAATCATAGATGATTTATTTTTAGTTCATTTCTTTTTGAAATCAAGTTCAAACAATTTTTCTCTATTGTAATGAGATGTTAGTTCTATTTCAACTATCACCCAGTTGAATTTTCATGTTGATTAAACTAAAACAATTGGAATTCAGCGCGGGTCTAATTCTAGGTTCAATCTATTTTCAATTTATTATCCACGCCGTTTCTGTTTAACCTAACATATCTCATATTTTCAAAAGCCAATCTAATTTTGGTTCTTATGCAATCCTAATGTTCTTCTGGAGGCTTTTCAATTGAAAGCTTTGAAGCTTTTCAATTGAAAGCTTTGTATATAATTTATGTTGTATGTTTCACAAAAAACGTTTCTTAAAATCACACCCCCAGTAACACCCGCTTTATTGAGTTCTATTTTACTTCTACTTTGAGTTTTGGGTTTGCTTCTACTCTAATTCTAATCTGAATCTGATCGGGTTCAAATCTAAATTGGTTTTCAATCTTCAATCTGGTTTTATTTCAATTCTAGTTGTGTTTAGGTTCAAGTCTAAATTAGGTCTATTGTGAATGTCGCTTTAAGTCTTATCCTCGTTCAAGTCTAATTCATTTTCATTAGATGAATTCTAATCGGGCTGCAGGTTAAGCAATTCTATTTCAAATCTATTTTAATTCTAATTCAATGCTAAGTTAAGTAATTGAATTTGTGAGTCAATCTTAGTTTAATTCCAATGCAGATCCAACTTTGAGCCTAGTACATTTTTCTCGAGTTTAGCTTACTTTTTAGTTTTTGGTTTTTCTTTAGCTTACTTCTACTTCATTGAATGCAAATTGAATTCTAATTTCATGCTAGAAAGTTGGTGTTACTGGGGGCGTGATTTTAAGAAAGCCGTTTAAGAAGATAACATATAAGTTATATACAAAGCTTTCGTTTGAAAAGCAACACGCTCTTCCTGGAAGAACATCAGAATTGCATAAGACCAAAAAAGTTTTGGGCCAGTGACCTGGAGTCGCACGCAGCACGGGTATACTGGAGGTTAAATTTGGGAGCTCGTCACTGTGAGCGCGCGCTATTTTTCTGGGCTCGTTTATACTCAATAAATCAAAACAGATATCATAGGAGCAAGAATATGGAAATGCAACAAAATGAAAGACAGAAATGACAGATAATATGGTTGGATGAATATTGAATAAATTGGGATGATACAACTTGATCTATTTAAAAGAGCGGGTGGTTTTTTTGGGGGTTGAGTTTTGAAAGTTGTGATTCTGTAAGGTTTTGATTATTTGTTGATGATATGGCATTGATAGGGTTGTGAAGGTTGTGAATTTGTAAGTTCTTGCTTTATTTGTATCTTGTAAGTAGTTTGTTTTGTTTTGTATTTGCTTAAAAAATGTTTGTCTGTAACTTAGTTCTATGCAATTCCTACGCAACATTGCTTTTAGAAATATCTTCTGAGTTGTGTTGCTTTTGTAATTTGCGATTTGACAAGTACATCCGCTTCAGAAGGTAAAGGGTTGGAAATCATAAATGATATTTTTAGTTCTATTTCAACTATCACCCAATTGAATCTTCATGTCACGAAAGCTAGCATGCTAGCTGAGTTCTTCTTTGCTTTAGCAATTGGTAGTGGAATGAGCTGCGCGCCTTAAAGCTTGATATATCACACTAAGGTGGGGGGCCTGGCCCCCCCACTCTAGCGTGATATATCACGCTAAGGACCGGTTCAACTCCCAGCTGCAGGCGTTTTGGCATTAGTGGAGGTGTTGTTACATGTTGGAAATTGTTGGTGTTTTGTTTGGTATTTTGGATTTCTGGGTGCGCATTCAAAACCAGGATGTCAAAGACATCATGCACTTGAATTTTGGATGATCCTGGGAAGCGGAAGCACGCGTAATTATTGGAGAATCAAGATGACACCCATGGGATTTTGCATGCATTTTTGCAAAACATCCACTGATTTAGTGTTTGTATTTAGGATTCATTGACGAGCTTTGTCGGAAGCATGGTCAGCTTCGTCGGAAGCATGATCATTTGCTCGTTTTTTCTTGTGGATGCATCACATAACATTTCGGCTGCGCCTTGTCAGTTGATGAATCTTCATTACCTGAGAGCAAAGTGTTTGAATTTACTGTCTTCGACATGTGTGGTTTGGCAAAATTGTTGATTGTATCCATACCCGCCAGATTTGCTACCGGCTATTGCCCCAAGACACTCTATTCCTTATACCCTTTACCAGTGTTTATCCTACACTACGGACGCCCTGGTGTATGTACAGTCCGTGTGATGTCAGAAATGCTCACCCCTCTTTCCGACCCAAGGCATACAAAAGCGGTGGGTAAATTTATCCTCCAGATTAACCATAACAGTAAACCAGCTATTTCATCTAGACACTCTTAGTGTTTGTATTTAGGATTCATTGACGAGCTTTGTCGGAAGCATGGTCAGCTTCGTCGGAAGCATGGTCATTTGCTCGTTTTTCTTGTGGATGCATCGCATAACATTTTGGCTGCGCCTCGCCAGTTGATGAATCTTCAATACCTGAGAGTAAAGCGTTTGAATTTACTGTCTTGGACATGTGTGGTTTGGCAAAATTGTTGATTGTATCCATACCCACCAAATTTGCTACCGGCTATTTCTTGAAGACACGCTATTCCTTATACCTTTTACCAGTGCTTATCCTACACTGTGGACGCTCTAATGTATGTACAGTCCTTGTGGTGCAAGAAATGCTGACCCCTCTTTCCGACCCAAGGCATACGAAAGCGGGGGGTAAATTTACCCCCCAAATTCGCCATAACCATAAGCCGGGTATTGCCCCAAGACACTCTATTCCTTATACCTTTTACCACTGTTAACCCTACACTACGGACGCCCTAGTGTATGTACAGTCCGTGTGATGTCAGAAATGCTCACCCCTCTTTCCTGCCCAAGGCATACAAAAGCGGTAGGTAATCACGAAAGCTAGCACGCTAGCTGAGTTCTTCTTTGCTTTAGCAATTGGTAGTGGAATGAGCTGCGTGCCTTAAAGCTTGATCACGAAAGCTAGCATGCTAGCTGAGTTCTTCTTTGCTTTAGCAATTGGTAGTGGGATGATCTGTGTGCCTTAAAGCTTGATATATCACGCTAACCCCCCCCTCCCCCCCCCCCCCGGTTCGACTCCCAGCTGCGCCGTGTAGCGGGGGTTGGTTGAACGCGTGAACGTGGTTGGTTGGGTGTAAACGGTGGCTTGGTGTAAACGGTGCTGCTTGCTGCTTCTGTTTGCTGCTGCCGCTGGTTGCCGCTTTTGTAGCTGCTGCTTTGCTACTTGTTGCGGCTTGGTGCCGCTGCTGCTGTTGCTGACGACGCCGCTGCTGCTGCTGCTTGCTGCTTGCTGCCTGCTGCTTGTTGCTTGCTGCTTGCTGCTTGCTGCTGCTGCTTGCTGCTTGCTGCTGGTGGTGGTGCTGCTGCTGCGGCTTGGTGCTGCGCTGCTGCTGCGTTGTGCTGCTGGCTGGCTGCTGGTTGGTGGTTGCTGCTGGCTGCTGGCTGCTGCTGCTGCTGCTGCTGGCTGCTGCTTGCTGCATAGGCCTTGTACTTCACTGTTACAAGTTCTTTACCCTATTTCTAGCCTAATGCATGCATAAGCGGGGGGTAAATTTACCCCCCAGATTTGCCATAACCATAAGCCGGCTATTTCCTCAAGACACTCTACTCCTTATACCCTTACCAGTGCTTATCCTACACTACGGACGCCCTAGTGTATGTACAGTCCGTGTGATGTCAGAAATGCTTACCCCTCTTTCCGACTCAAGGCATACAAAAGCGGGGGGTAAATTTACCCCCCAGATTTGCCGATCACGCATCTTCGTGCCTGCCAACGAGCGCGCCCGTGTTGTTCCAATGTACCCTTCCCAGTCGGCGATGTCACATTTACATTCTTTAGCGCAAAGTATGTACATAGCAACCGTTCTCCCAAAACATGTAATCACTACATGCTTTGCCGACTATGTAACTAGTACATCCGGTGCGATTCGGCTAGCTTTCGACCTCCTCCCCCTGGCCTCAAGTTGATTAAACTCAACATATAGTTTGTTCTAATTGGAATTCAATGCAAGTCTAACTCTAGGTTCAATCTATTTTCAGTTTATTTTCCACGCCGTTTATGTTTAACCTAACATATCTAAGATTTTCAAAAGCCAATCTAATTTTTGGTTCTTACGCAATCCGAATGTTCCTCTAGAAAGCGCGTTGCTTTTCAGTTTGAAAGCTTTGTGTATAATTTACGTCCCCCAGTAACACCCGCTTTATTGAGTTCTGTTTTACTTCTACTTTGAGTTTTGTGTTTACTTCTACTCTAATTCTAATTTGAATCTGATTGAGTTCAAATTTAGATTTGTTTTCAATCTTCAATCTTGTTTTATTTCAATTCTAATTGTGTTTAAAGTCAATTCTAATTAAGTTCTATTGTGAATGTCACTTTAAGTCTAACCCTCGTTCAAGTCTAATTCATTTTCATTAGATGAATTCCAATCGGGCTGCAGGTTAAGCAATTCTAGTTGAATTCTATTTTACTTCTCATCCAACGCTAATTTAAATAGTTGAATTTGTGGGTCAATCTTGGTTTAATTCCAACGCAGGTCTAACTTTGAGCCTAATATATTTTTCTCGAGTTTAGCTTACATGTTTAATTGTTTGTTTTAATTTAGCTTACTTCTACTTAATTGAATGCAAATTGAATTCTAATTCAATTCTGATTTCATGCTAGAAAGTGGGTGTTCCTGGGGGCGTGATTTTAAGAAAGCAATTTAAGAGAATAACACATAAGTTATATACAAAGCTTTCGTTTGAAAAGCAACACGCGCTTCCTGGAAGAACATCAGAATTGCATAAGGCCAAGATTACATTTGACAAAGCTAGAAATATATTAGGCTAAACATTTACTGCAGATAAATTAAACTGAAAGTAAATATAAAAGCATATTGCTTGTGTTTTCTCAAAAACTTCGAGAAAACAAAAAAGCAAAACTGCGCAGAGCATAGAAAATACATTGGAAATAGATATTTAGGTTTGCATTAAAACATTGAAATTAAATTGAAAATACATATCCAAGCAGTTTGAACCTCGAGAAAACGAAAAAAATACACCGTCTATAAGCAGAAAGTCTGGAGTCTAGAGGTCTAGACGCATTGGGGTCCAGAGAGGTGACGGTGGTGATGAAGGTGGGGATCGTGGTGACGGTGAGTGAGTGAGTGAGTGAGTGTGTGAGTGAGTGAGTGAGTGAGTGAAACTTAGCATACGCCCTCTCCATAGATTGAGACGATGCTGATTTTGGTTCGATCGATTTGAGGGGTGGGCCCGCCCGTAGACCCCTCAACTTGTAGGCGAAAGCAGAAGGCAAATGGGTGCTTGTATGGGCCTTAGCTATCTCCATTGATGCGGTTCGAGAGTTGCGGCAAGCCTGGCTGAGGTCAATATTCAACAAGCTGAAGTTTTCGCTTCGCACACCTTGAATAGGGATGCTGAGTGCTCAGAAATCAGGAGACGCTGTTTTACCTAAGCAGTTCACAGTCGGTGTTCTTTTCCGAAGAGACTGGTCACTGGCCACGCTCTGGCCGCCCCTGAACCCTCTCTCCGGGCGTTGTCCTCTTGTTGTCCAGTTGTTTGAGTGGCCTCTGGCCTTGCCTGGCAACCATTTGGCCACCTGCTGTCGGCCCTTTCTCCTCCACCTTCCGGGCCCTTTTATCGCCGCCTTGTTCGGGCCTTGTCCCCTGTTGGTCACGCCGCTTTCCTTTCACGCGGCTATGAACAAACGGCGATGCAGCGTTTCACCTTTGATACCCTCGTCGGATATTCTCGTACAATATGCCCCTTTGCGCACATGTGACCCGGGAATCAGGAATTATTGTTTACAAGCTGTTCCCAAACAGGTGGAGGAAAATAATTGCGCACGTTTACCATCAACATGGAAGAATGATGAGCAGATAGACAGCTATAGAAAAATGAGATATTGCAGATCGAAGGAGACACACATACCAGCAGAGACATGACAGTCACTCGAGCATGTCGACTACCGCTGTTCCGCTTCGGCGCAAGACCCTTGTTTTCAATTTAGAAAAGCGCCCATGCTGTTTTCGCGGTAGCGGAGCGCTGGCCTACATACTCACCACTCGCCGCCGCGACGCGATCCAGGCAGAGGAGGGCATTTTCCGCGTTTGCTTGCTAGGGCTTCTGCTGTTGGCAGGGCTGCCCAGGGGTAAGAGAGGAGTACCTTGACAGGAGCGCCAAAGCAGATCGTGCTTCTTTGATTCTGGAGGAATGAAGAGACGGTTGAGGGACAAGGCCCCAAGAGAGTTTGAGTGAAGTGATCTACAATTGGAAGTTGACTGGCGTTTGACCCATCAGACGGAGCCCACGCTAACCTCCAAGACGTTCTATTCGAAAGGTCTGGACATTCAGTTTAATGGCGGATGAGAGTTTGCGGATTGTGGCAACAGCCCTGGAGAGACTCACGGGTCAATCAGGCTGCTGAAGGACGCGCGCGTCAGCTCAAGGCGCCTGATGTGTTCAAGCCTGACTCCTGACAACAGGTTGAAGATGTGGGGAGATTGGAAGTTTAATTCCTTCTTGAACTACATCAAAGGGATTGACCTCACCATGGCCAATGACATGGACCATGTCGAGCGTGAGTTGGAGGCAAGCTACGGCTTGGACGCCGTGACAGATGAGACCAAAGGGAGAGCGGTGATCCTGCGGGTGAAAAAGGAGAATGGCTTTGAAGCATGGCAGATCCTATCGGGAGATGCAACCTGCGGCCAGAATGAGGGCATGGCTTTGCTGAGCCTGTTGTCGCGCGTACAGTTTGCAGAAGGAAAGACAGTGTCAGAGTCAGAACAACTGCCACAATTTCACGCTCTCCTCTACGAGCGCGACACATCTCACGGCGCTTGCATTTGTGATGGAGTGACAAAAACATGCATCGAGGACAAGAATGGCGAGACAAGCAGCGCACAGGTCCCCAAGGAGGACGGTCAATGGACACACTTGAAAAAAGAGGATGACATCACCATGGTCGGCTTGAATGCTTTTTTCAAAGCGGTGGCGATGCTTCAAAAAAACTTCCCTGTCAGCCTCGACGCGGACGCCGATATCCAGTGGTGGAAGCAACTGTTTAGGAAGCAGCTGGCTTGAAGTTGAACCACACAAATAGCTTCTTTCCACCATAGTTGGAGTGAGAGTCAGAAGTTCCAGGTGTCCAGAGCCTGAGGCATGCAAGGAGAGAAGCTTTGCATAAAGGAGCAAGAAGAGGCTGCTTGAGGGATTGGCAAGCTTCAAGATCAAGTTGCTACAAGGAGCAACAACAGGCATGAGTGGCAATTGGACAGCCAAAGCTACCAAGCCTTGCTCGTCAGGAGAGACACTTCATCACTCACAGGCCCCACGCGGGATGGTGCCAGAGCAGTGAAGAGCAGGAGGACGTTGGAAACCTTTTCTGGTGAGGTCAGATTTTCTGTGGAAACTCCACCAACGACCCGTGCATCTTCCAAGCACACCCAGAGAGATCGACAAGACAGATTTTGAGGTCTGCGCAACAGGTGGATCTTCTTCGGAGAGGAGAGCGCACGCTTGAGGATCTTCATTTGTACCCCTCATCATTCCGGTCCGGGTCGTTGACAAGTGCAACAAAATCAGCTTCGAGCTGGCGACCGTCAGGAGTACACAGGGAAACTTGCGCTTTTGGGCGAAAGTGTGCTCTTCGAGAAGATCGTGAAGTTCAAGGGAAACAACGCGTTTGAAAAAGGCATTTGGGCCGGGAAACATCCTTGGAGCGATAGTCGCGTGATCTTGGCGGCGGATGGGGCCTATGAAGTGAGGACAATCAGAAGATTGGCCAACGGAGAGAACTTCATAGCCACTGACATTCATTGCGGCGGGCCTACCTTAGAGTTTTTCTCGACAAGAGATCTTGATGAAACATGCTGGACAGGCCCAGAGATACCGTCAGCCTACATTGGAGATGGACGCTGGGGAACGGGAAGGCCATTGCAGAGGAGGGAGCTGGACGTATACTGTAATATATACGCCAGGACAGCCACCAGCTCCAGGAACGCCAGTATGAAGAGGCCCGCAGAAGATGATGAAGAGAGAGATGCTGCGCTGCGAGGTTGGATGGCCCGACAAGAATCAACCAGATGAAGGAGCAGATGAGGTTGAGCAGAGACAGAAGAATGGAGAGCAGACAGAAGTGGAAGGCAGTGGAAGGCAGTGATGAAACAATGAGGATGGCAGAATCATCATTGCTCAAGAGTCTTCAAGCATCTATATCCACCTCGCCACGCAGGCATCAACGCCCTGCAGTTTCGGGGCGACGAGGATGCAGACCCCCGCAAATGTCAGAAGAGGAGGTCTACAAGTTCATGTCAAATCCAGAGTTCCGGCTCAGAAGGCAACAGCCGTTTGCGGCGATGGTTGCGGGACGCAAAGCATTGAACGCGCACGGAATTTGCGTTTTTGCGCTGGATCCAGCATAAGGAGACAGAGAAGATCTTGTCAGTTGCCGCCATGCCCAGCAAGTTGAATTGCGCAGGCATTGGCGCAAAGAATTTGGCGAAGAAGAGACTTCTTGGACTGCTGCTCATGCTGAAGACGGTGAACTTAGTGGGAGATCGAGTAGGCGAAGAAGAGTATTATGAGGAGTTGGAGCGCAACTACCAGGCCATGCAGAGTCAGAAGCACATTGGCAGTAGCAACAAGAAGGCCTTGCGGGTATGCTTGTTACCTCTCCTGAGTTTCGTTGGAGTCCGGTGTGGGCGAAAGCCATTCTGGATGGTCATGGATGAACTTTTGCGCTCGCGCGCTCCTGGGGGTCTTGAGTAATCTTGAGAGTTTTCTCTTGGCTGCGGGACTTCATCACGGCATTTGCGCAGGGTGCCTTTGGGTATGTGATGAATGGCATGATGGTGATGATCGAAAAGAAAGATCAAGAGACTCAGGTGGCGCGATGGGAAAGTATGAAACCGAGTTGTGGAGAATGAGTGCGCGAAACAAGACTTCTACACGCTGAACGAAAATTTTCTGTTGTAAAGTGTGGAGAGCAAGCACACGCAGAAGTTTTTGCACCAGATGGCCAACTTGAGGGCATGTCGAAGAGGCCCAGCAGCGCATTTCTCAGAAAATTGTCGGCACTTCAACCAGGCAGAGAATTCAAAGTTAGAACTGTGTCAGACATGTTTGCGTGAAGGGTGTGTTCGATTCTACACACATACCAGCAGAGACAAGACAGTCACTCAAGCATCTCGACTACCGCTGTTTCATTTCGGTACAGGACAGGATCGCTTGTTTCCAGCTTGGAAAAGCATCCTTGCTGCTTTCAGTATTGACAAGTGGGGACAAGATGATCAGCAATGATATATTTAGATTATTTTAGATTGGATTGCGGCCGATGGGCCAAAACATGTGTGGACATGAAAGATATTTATAAAAATATATATATATACTTACATCAAAGTTAACTAGATGGACTGACAAGGTGGGACAAATCACACCTGGACTGCCCTCCATATGTGGCATATGAAGTTCGTGGAACCTCGTGACGTTGTCCCGTTAACCTTTGTGGGCCCACGCTAGGTCATCCAGCCATGTCATGTCCCATGCAAGCAAACAAACAAATAATCAAACAAACACAGGCTTGCACAGCAACCACCGGATTTGGTTATGTGAGTGCAGCCAGGTCTTGCAATGGGGTTTCCTACAGGGTGGAGGGCCATCAAATCTATATAGATTCTAGATGTTGTGGGCTGCGCAGTACTGAAGGGTGCTACTGCATAGTTTATGCCAGGAAGGGGTGTTGAATTATGTAACTCTCGCTGCTCCGGTTCGTCCTGACAGGTTCAACCGGGTCAACACCCAAAAAAATCAAATCGGTTCTTACAGCAATCATTGCTTTCAGGAGAGCAGCTACTGTTTTGTGCTGTCACCAAGGTGTGGAGTGATGACACCGTCAAAGACGTCATCCTGGGATCATTCTTGTTTTGGTGCTTGATTCGCAGATCATGAAAACTCACAACAAACGTTTTGGCATTCTGTACAATACGCAGACTTCTGGGCATAAGGCAGCGGGACGACAAGTCCACAGAAGGTGACCAGTTTTGCCACTACCATCAGTGTGGGTACAGAACTTAAGATGTCGCAGACCACTCTTACAGCTGTGACCAAGATGTTACTGTAAACAATTTGGGAAGATATTCAACGTGTGCGGGAGGCTATCATTGGGGGAGTTTCAGATGTCTCGCGAAACCCTTGTGCGAACTTGGTTTGCAAGGCATCAGCTTCCACACATTTGCATCATTGATCCACGCACTGGGCGGCGAGTAAAGGCTCCGTGGGCATGTGCAACTGCCTGCTGCAGTAACTCTGTGAACAGACCACTAGTTTGTCACATTGTTGTCCATGGGTTAGTATCCAGCAGCTCCAGCAGCTCCAACACTGCCCAAGACTGCCCACTTGTGTTTTCTTTGCCTTTTCCTGCTCACACTATTCTTTTCCTTGCCATGTTTTCTTCTCAAATTCTTGCCTCAATCTTGAGTATAGATCAGGCTTTAAATGACGCTAGTGTTTCTGCAATCTGATCTATGGCTGACTATTTCCTGCTTTGATTTCTAAAACAATGCCGCTTGGCTGTTGCTTGCTGCCTCGGTTCAGTCATCGGCTTTGAGTACGCCCACGATGTGCCTTCCAGCAAAGCAAGTCAGGAGGCAGATGCGCCTGTGCCTTTGTCAACTGCTATATAGCTGAGTCTCTCGTTCCGAAAGATTAAGTTTTGTCAGGCCTTGTTTGGATTGCGCCCATTCCTATTTCTTTTCAAGAAACCTTTTTAGTAAATGCTGCCAGCGTGCAAATTGCCTCGCCAACCTGATCTCGAGCAAAGTCTCACTTTAATTCAATCTGAACAAAATTCTATGAATAGGCCAACTGGAGACTCTCACTTCGGACTCTCTTCCTATTCTTCTGTCTTGGCCCGTGATGATGGCAGAACTGGGATGGCCGCAAATGGGTAGAGTCCCATGCTGCTGCCGAGTGCGCTCTGCAGAACTTTCTTGCTCCATCTAGCTGCCTTCCATGGAAAGCGAAGGTGTAGGCTTCAAGAGCAATTTGTCTACAAAATGGATGCAAACTACATGGTGGCTTTAGATTGGAACACACCGGACATGCAAGTTCTTTTCAGGTACCTTCTTGGGTTCCTCGATCAGTTTTCTATGTCAAGGTGCTTGTCCTGACTTTAATTTGATTTATATTTTTTTTGTTTCTGGTGCTCAAATCAGTTTCCCAGCGGAGCAGATCTCCAGGTCTCCGCCTCCACAATCTCCAGTTGCGAGCCCTACTCACAAACCTCAGGCGTGAGAAAGAAATGTGTTCTTTTTCAAAATTTGTTGCTTCATTCTATTCAGCTCATTCACAGTTGAAGGAAGCCCTTTCCAGCTTTTTGTGTTGTCGGCGTGCTGATTGCCTTTGCGGAGGCCTTACCGGACCCATCATCCATTGAACTTCAAGGATTGGATGAGCCAATGGAGGCCCTGCCGTAAGACCGCCATGCCTGGACTGGCTCCTTAACTTACTTTTGCACGCGCCGCAAGTTGACTACGAAAGGATAGGCAGAAGTTGTTCAGGCAAATAGACGGCCTTGAGTGATGCTGGTAGTGCAAGCTAGTCACAGTGCATTTCCCAGCGTTCATGATCGGGGTTGCGTGAAAAAGTTGCACTGGCTTTCGTCCGTGTCAGGTTTGGTTTGAAAGAATTATAACTCCCTTCCGTCCCTTCCCCAATCACGACTTTGCCTTTGTTTTGGCTTGAAAGGGTCGGCTGGAGAAGGTGTCAAGATCGTTTAAACCGCAACCTGTGGCCCTTGATGCAAAGCTCTCTATCTGGCGCAGTGCGTTCTCACACTCCCAGTGCTTGCACTCGCCTTGGATACGCTGGTTAAGGGTCAATAAGGAGGGCACCAGTGTGGCGTATCTATTCTGGAGTGGCTGAGTCATAGTATCTAGTGATTAAGGTATACAGTATATGATATGATGTATCAGCTAGTTGGAAATACACCTATCAACGCCGTTGAGACTGCAATTCAGTGCTGCGCAGCAAGACCAATTTGATCCAATTTGCTGCTTTTGCGTCCAACCTAATGAATGGGGATGAGCTTGGAGGTTTGCTCAAATGAGCTCGAAGAGAGTCTGGCTCTGGCTAAAGCTGATGTACCAACAGAACGAAGAGAAGAACAAGAAAACCTGGAAAAGAAGTGGGAAAGGAAACGCTCGCAGGGAGTTTCAATGTGGACCCGCACTTCATTCGTTCTATATAGGTCAAGAGCACATCAACCTGGGTACAAACCACTCTGCACCAAACTTGCTTCAAACAAATCAAGACCGGACGAATAAACAAGAAAAGATCCTCCTGAGCGAGGCAGCAAATGTCCTAAACCTGTTTCACGAAATGACAACTTTTTCAAGAACCTTCCTTGTTCAGAAATTCTCAGAATTCAGCTTTCGGCACAGTCCATAGACGTGATGATAGTTCCAAAGTTAGATTCCTGACCAGAAACGAAATTGAACATATCCTGCCCGCCCCCACAAACAGCCACATCTCCATCTTCCAAGATCCAGAAACCAACATGGCAGACCTTTTTGAACAAAATCTAATAGCGGCGTGCCACCTTTCATTTTTGTCCCTTGTGTTTTCTCTCTCTGTGTTTATCATTCTTGATGATGTTGGTTTTGGCTTTGGAACCGCAATGAAAACCAAAGGAACGCATAAGAAGAAAAAGCACATTTTGCCTTGATGTGCGCGTGTTGTTAAACTATATGTTTGTTTCATGGTGGTTTCATGATGATATTTCCGAGCATCTGCCTGTATCGAATCCGACTGAGAAATGACTACTTTTCTATCCACTTTATATTGAAAGGGTTGTTCTCAAGTCTGTTTGTCATAAATGATCCCCCTTGATTCTGAACTTGTGCAATCCGTGTTGTGAAGTGTATCCATACACTTGGAGGCATGTTCATGCACTTAACCAAACCCCGCAGCGGCGGGCTGCTCGAGCGTGAAAAAGAGTCAGCGGCTACGCCACCCTAGCCCCAGCACCACGGTGCTGGATCGGTCGACCCTCGATCGTAAGCCATAGCGGTTGAGACTTCGTGTGCTACAACCTTGACTACCTGTTGTTGGTAGCGGAGCTGGAGACAGCGATTCTGGACTTTGACATCAAGATTTTGCATTGGCGAGCGCTACACATCCACACACTTCATCCTGGACTTTACCTATGGCAAGTTCTGGAGCCTCGGCCGCAGCCGCGGCCAATGGGGCCGGAGGATCTTCATCCTACACCGGCAAAGCACATGAACTCATTCCAGAGTTCAGTGGAAAAGCAAATGACTACAAAGAGTACCGCAAGAGAGTGCTCCTCTATGAACGCAAGATGGATCTTGCGGGAAGAAAGACAGAAACTGAGCTCCCTGAAGAACAGAGCCTGGGACGCCTGCGAGGACCTCACCATGGAGGTATTGGAGAGTGAGAGAGGCATGAAAGAAATTCTCACGCGGTTGGACGCCGTGTTCAAGTACGATGCCATCACTGAACTCCCTCAGGACTTCGAGAATTTCTTCATCCAGATGCAGCGTAAGAGGAACGAAACGATGCAAGAGTACACAGCTAACTTCGAGCGACAGCTTCGACGGCTTGCTGCCCACGAAGTTCAACTCCCCGAGAAGGTGATTGGCTGGTACTACTTGCGACGTGCTGGACTCTCCCAACAGCAACGTCAGTTGATCATGAGCACGATTACGACCTCAACGCTGTCCCTTGACTCAGTGAGAAAAGCGGTGAACTTTGTCATCGGCCAAGACCAGACACCTGAAGGTGCTTCAGGAAGCCGAGACCACCGCTTCAACAAGATGAAGGACTCAATATACACTGTGTCCGAGGACGCCTGGAGCTATGACCCCGAGCCCGATGATGCCTACTATGAAGATGAAGAGTCCTGGGAGATTGGACCAGATGACTCGATGAGTCAAGCACCATGGATCGACGATGAGCCAATCCACCACGAGGCTGACGATGACATCTTGCTGGCAATGGATGCAGCCTCAGAGTATGATGACATCATGGCCAACTATGTGGAGGCCAGATCCAAGTTGAATCAGCTGCGAGTCAGCCGAGGTTACTACCCCGTCGTCGCCATGATCCCCGACCAGAAGGGCTATGTGGGAGGTGCTGGCAAAGGAAAAAGGCAAGAAAGGCAAGTCCAAAGGAAAAAGCAAGCAGATGCCACGACCATCAGCCAAAGCACGAGGAAAAGCTGCCCTCGGAGCCATTAAATGTCTTCGATGTGGCCGTGCTGGTCACATGGCAGCGAACTGTCCAGCAGCTCAGAATAAGCGTAAGGCTGAGACAGACCCCGAGAACGAGATCCACATGGTCATGGACTCCAACATCGAGGAGGTGAACATCTTCGACGAGGATGGAACTGAATCGGAGCCCGATGACACTGCCATGTTTGACTGTGGAGCTGCATCAGTCATCATTGGCATGCAGCAACTTCGCCGGCTGATGAAGGCACTGCTGATGAAAGGCTGTGACATCGCAGCCATTCCTGCATGGAAGTGTGAGAAGGGATTGCGTTTCGGCAATGGCAACCGCGACGTCACGACCCTCTGTGTCCTGGTGCCAACCTTCTTCAAGAATAAAAGAAGGGACATCCTGATGTATGTCATGGAAGGCTCAACTCCATGCCTGCTGGGCAGGCCAGCTTTGGAAAGCTTCAACATCACCATCAACTATGGTGCCAAGATCATCGCGTACGACGATGACCTGAAGTTTGAGCCGGCAACCTTGGGACAGAAGGGCGAGTTCATCGTGCACTTGGTGGAGGACTACCACCTGGTGAAGGAGAAGAAAGTGGCCGACCAAGTCTTTGTGCCCGAGGATTTTGACAATCACATCTTCGAGCAAGTGCCACTTCACTCCGTCTTGCAAGTGCCCGCAGATGCTTTCATGGAAACCGAGGTGAGCATCGTTGCGGAGAATTCAGTGCCAGAGACAACGCCTGACATCACCGAGATGGAGACCAGTCCCGCACAGAAGACTGGAGAGCAGCGCGATGTCCTGGACGATGAGGAATTGGATAAGCTTCACCCTGGACAGCTGAACAAGCTGTACTATGAGACGGTCAGTGCCATGAAAGAGTTGGACATGGACATCTACCGGGCCAAGGACCTGGAGAATTTCATGCCACCAAGGACCTACACCATCTGGGAGGTCTATGCTGGTGAAGGAAAAGTTACAAAAACGGCCAACCGTCGGGTGAACTGCACCGCCACAAGATTTTCTCGTGAAGATGGCTGGGACTTCTCACAAGCATCTCATCGACGAGCATTCTATAAGAAACAGGAAGATGAGAAGCCGGACGCCATCCTCTACAGCCCCATGTGCAAGCTGTGGTCGCAAATGCAGGAGCTCAACAAGGCAAAGAGTCCCGTGTATGCTTCCAATCTTGAGGCAAAGCAGAAAGAAGACCATGAAACACACCTCACTTTCGTGGCAGTCAGCTATGAGAAGCAGAGGAGAGAAGGACGTCTGGCCATGGTTGAGCGCCCATGGAACGCTACAAGTTGGCACACCCCTGCGTTCAACAGAATGGAGGGCTATGACACCCGCATCGACATGTGCGAGTATGGCCTGATCCTCCCCGACGACACTGGAACGATCAATCCAGTTCAGAAACCTACATGCCTGCGGACAACAAGTCCTATTGTGCATTACCTCATGTGGAAGGAGTGCAGCGGAGGACACTGGCACACCCACCTCGAGGGCTATGCTTTGGGTCTTGGAGCACGGACAGTCCTTGCCGAGAACTACACGCAGACCTTCGCCACCGCCCTTGTGAATAGCATCGTTGCTCACTTGGACAACCAGGATGACATCCAGGCTGTGGATGACTATGTCGAGGCCTGCAACAAGGGACCTGCCCGAAGAAAAACAACTGGTTGAGTCTGAGCCCATTCGGAGCAATCGGGAACTACGTTCTAAAGTTGGAGGCCGAGCTGTTGAGTATGTCCAGTGCTGCACAAGAACCTGGGTCACTGTGGCTCGGAGGTTCTCACCCGAATGCTCAAGGAAGTGCAGGCCACTGGTGACGTTCTGGAAGCAGCTCAGAAATATATGTGTCCACTTTGCTATGCTCGCAAGGGACCGAAACAACCACCTCCAGCTTCAGCCCTGAAGTGCACAGAGTTCAACGAGCGCATCCAAGTTGACTCTCACTGGATCCTGAATGATGACTCAGTGATCAAGACAGCCTTGCCCGCACCGGGCACACCAGCAGCACGACGCCGCGACAAGGAGAAGGCTGAGAAGATCCCTCAGGGAAGGCGCTGTGCGCTGACCGTGGTGGATCATGCCACCAGATACTGTGCCATCAGGATCCTCAACAGCGAGAAGGCCGAGGAGTTCACGAAGGGCCTAGAGCGCTGTTGGCTGAAGCACTTTGGCATCCCGAAGATATTGAGAATTGATGAAGCCAAAGGCTGGGCATCAAAGCATGTGAGGGAATGGGCTAACTCGAGAGGAATCACCGTGGAACTACAACCTGCCGAACAACATTCTTGGCTTGGCGTGGTGGAGCGGAAGCATCAGGTCATCAGGAGATGCCTGGAGCTATATCAAGATGAAGTTGGCAAGCACGACAAAGCATCACTTAAGGAAGCTGCCGTCTACGTGCCCCATGCCGTGAACCAATTGAGCTTCCACAAGGGTTTCAGCCCACAACAATGGGTCTTCGGAAAGGTGATGACCCATGTGCATGGCTTGTCCGGCGAGCTCTTCAATCCTGGACAAGATGCACTCGACGAGCAAGGTGTCTTAACTTTGCAGAAGTGCAACAAAGAAGGGCAGCAGCGGCTAAGGCCTTCATCGCTGCCGACTCTGACGCCAAACTTCGTCGAGCTTTCGCCCAGAAGTTCCAAGAGCAGAAGGAGAGTTTGGTGGTTGGTCAGCAATGCTGGTATTGGAGAAATGCCGGAGCCGGAATTCTTCGAAAGGCTCGATGGCGTGGGCCGGCACGTGTGGTCGCGATTGAGGACAATGGTGATGCCAGAGTTCTTTGGTTATGCCATGGCACTTCACTTGTCCGTTGTGCACCTCAACAAGTTCGGCCACTGGTGGAAGACAGTGGAGCTTTTGTGCCCATCGACCGTGCAGTAGCCATGAGAGACCTGGAGGAGCTCAAGGCAAGATCCACCACCCAATTTCGTGACGAGATGAAGCATGCTGGCATCGACCCCAAGGACATGGAGTACCAGGATTGGGATGGTGATCTCGAGGCTGACTATCAGCCAGAGGCGATGGATGAGGATGATGACGTGGAGAACGACCCAGAAATGCAGCACAACATTTTGCCTGGAATTGCGCAGGCAATCCCACCCCGTCCACGACACGAAGATCGAGAGAGATCTCCTCGACGAGGACCTGTCATCCCTCATGGACTTCCATCAGATGCACCAACAGCTGCACCTGCTGAGCCAGAGCAGGAGCGACAAGCTGAGAGCTCTCCAAAGAGAAAAGATCACGATCCTGCTGAAGAACGACCCGCAATGAATCCTCGTGGACCATCATCACCGACAGCTGAAGCCGTGCCACCGGAAGCAATCCCTGTTCCAACAGATGATGAACTGGTGATTGACGAGGTCTTTGGCGCACAGTTGCCAGAAGGATGGAAGCTGGTGGATGGATCCTTCGAGCTTGACGAGATCTATGTGACGCAGAACCTGCGCAAAGGAGAAGTCAACATGAGGCACCTGACGCCTGATGAGCAGGCGGAGTTCGTGAATGGGAAGTGTTCGGAGCTGGAGCAGTACTTCCAAAACATGGTCTGGGAGTTCGCCACTGACCAGGAGAGCCAGAAAGCCGTGAACACCCACAGAGTGATCACTGCAAGATGGGTGTTGACCTGGAAGCGACTCAATGAGGATAAGCCCGAAGAGCCACCCCGATATAAAGCGAAGGCAAGACTTGTCCTACGAGGCTTTGAAGATCCCGACCTCCTGAACATCAAGACCGCGGCTCCAACAACAAGCCGCTTGGCAAGATTGTTTCTGCCGAGCATCGCCAACTGGAACCGTTGGGAATTGATCTGCGGAGATGTGAAAGCAGCCTTTCTGTTTGGCAGTGGATTCGATAGAGTGATCATCGTGAAGCTGCCGAAGGACTGCAACCCGCTGATCGGAGGTGACAAGATCGGACCTGAAGGACACATCTACATGAAGCTGAAGAAATCAGCCTATGGTCTCGCTGATGCACCACTGATGTGGTATCGAGAAGCATCCAGCCGACTGACATCCCGTGGATGGAAGAACCACCCCCTTGACCAGTGCTGCTTCATGATGTACGAGAAGGTGAAAGGAAAAGCAGTCCTGATCGGAGTGCTGGTGATCCATGTGGACGACATCCTGATCACTGGTGATCCTAGCAACGACAAGTACAAGAAGGCGATCCAACACCTCCAGAGTGACTTTAACTTTGGCAAGTGGGAACGCCTGGGCATTGACCAGCCCCTCAAGTACTGTGGTGGACAGATCTATAAGACCAAGTATGGCATCGAGGTCTCCTACCACGACTACATGAGGAAGCTGTGCCCGATCACCGTGAACAAGGGACGGAAGCCCAGTGATGAGATGAGCCCAAGTGAGACAGGAAAATATCGTGCACTCATCGGAGCTTTACAATGGCCAAGTTCACAGGGCATGCCAATGTTGGCAGCATCAGTGTCACTGCAAGCTGGTGCAGTTCCCAAGGGAACAGTTCAGGATGTCAATGAGCTGAACAAGACCCTGAGATTTGGCAAGAGCCAAGGAGATGTGACGATCAAGTTCCTGGCCAAGGAGATTGATGAGAACAAGGGCACCATCAACAGCCTGGAGAACATGACCCTGGTATGCTATGCAGACGCTGGCTTCGGAACTCGAAGGGATGGATCATCGCAAGGAGGATTCATCATCATGGCCTGCGACAAAGCCGTTCACAATGGCATCAAGGTCCCGGCAAGCACTGTGGCTTGGAGATCCTTCAAGTTGCCCCGTGTGTGCAGGAGCAGCTTGGGTGCTGAGTGTCAAGCGACAGCCACGGCATTGGAAGAGTTGCTCATGGCCAAGACCTTCCTCGAAGCACTGAAGAAGCCGGACTGCGACCTCAAGAACTTCAAGGACCATTTGACAGGCGTGAGCGCCATGGTGACGGACTGCAAGGCCCTCTATGATGCGGTCTACAGAGAGACCATCCAACAGGCAACAGACAAAAGAGTTGCCATCGAAGGGCTTGTGATAAAGGAGACATTGAGAGACCTCAATTGCAGCTGGCGATGGGTCTCATCGGAGCGACAGCTAGCTGATGGGCTGACGAAGATCAGCGCCCGACAGGCCTTCACAGAGAGATATAAGGGACACTACATCCAACTGGTCGCCGACGAGTCCTACCAAGCAGCAAAGAAGAAGAGTCAAGAGGAGCGCCAAAAGACAGTTCAAGAGACAAGGAGAACATCCTCGAAGGTGGCAGAAGCGCTCATTGGGATGGTGATGGCATCTCAAGTGACCAGCGCAAGTGGACGAGAGGATCAACGCAAGACTGACATTGAACACGTGTCCATCAACATCGACCTCTTTGACCTGGCCACGATCCTGACGATCATGCTGATGATCTTGGTGATCTTCATGATGGCTTGGAAGTGCAAGCCAAGGGCAAAGAAGGCCAAACCGGCCGATGAAAGCGAAGATGAACCAGTGCCAGAGCTGGAGCCGATCGATCACGGCGAGGAGGACGACGTGATGGGAAACATTGTGAACGAGCTGGTGGAGAAGAATGAGAGCCTACAGGCGCAGGTGAGAGAGTTGGAAAGGAAAGTCTCCTATCTGTCAGCGCTTCTGCAAAAGCGCGAGAAGAAAGAGACTGGACTGGCGACCTACAGCCACATGCCGGAAGAGGTCTTCACGACCCCAACAGGTGCTTGCGCGCACCTGCGAATCAACTGTGGCCACCTTGGTGTAAGCAAGAACGCCAAGCGATGGCGAGTGTGCAAGGACTGTGGGAGATGAAATTCTCCAGCCTTGCTTTTCACTTTTGCCCCAATGTGAAGTGTATCCATACACTTGGAGGCATGTTCATGCACTTAACCAAACCCCGCAGCGGCGGGCTGCTCGAGCGTGAAAAAGAGTCAGCGGCTACGCCACCCTAGCCCCAGCACCACGGTGCTGGATCGGTCGACCCTCGATCGTAAGCCATAGCGGTTGAGACTTCGTGTGCTACAACCTTGACTACCTGTTGCGTGTTATATCAACAGGTGATTCTAAGATGAGGTGTCTCAACATACCCATCAATGAATATAATATACCATCGGGGATGTTAAAATCGTCTTTAAAGAAACAAAGCGACTTGACTGAGAGAAACAAGACAATTGGAAGGAGGAGTTTATTCTTGGCAGTAGACAGTTTCATCGAAGCAATGTTGCGAGTAGAGACAAGACATAATCGAAGGGTTTGGCAGAGCTCTTGGTACGTTGCTTCTTCTTTTCCATCCTCACCCTCACCGGTCCTCACCAGTCCTCACTGGGTAGAATACTACCAGTCCTCGGGTCCTCAGTGTAGGTTTGGAAAAGTCGGACAACATTTGCAGCGCTTTGGAAAGAGAAAACTCATGACTACCTACAGTGACTGCCTGTGGTAGTGGCGAAGCAGAAAGTAGCTGGGTAAGATCAGTTATAAGTAATAAGTGGCAAAAGTGTTTCAAAAGCATGTACTTATGATAATGGAACCATCATCAAATGAACACCAGGACCGCATTGCCAAAGTATTTTAACTTTGTGTTGATCCAAAGCCAATCATTTCTACTTTCGGTTCTGCCAGGTGGAGGGGTCCAACACACGCGAGGTGGCATTTCCCTGTTTCAGTGCAACTGAATGTCAAAAGTGACAGCGACTTGCAAGGCTTGAAGGCTTGCGAAACTTGCGATCTGTGTGTGTGTACGTGTCATACCAATCGCAGGAGCAACAAGTAGAGTCTGATCCACTCCCAGTCATGCCAGAAGAACCAGCTGAAGACGTTGAACATTTGAAGGCAAGATGGAGATACTTCACATCAGTCAAAATGTTCATCACGAGTCACAGAGCAGTGCAACCGTGCAACCTCTTTACCCACTGACTCAAAGCGAGGTGTCCATCCGGCTGCCATCTGGTCAGCGGATTACCAAACGGTTTCGACCCGATGATCCCCTTGAGCAAATGGATGCTAAGTTGCATCAGACACTTGCTGATAGTGAAGACCTGTTAATCATTGTGACCTTCTTGGCTGGTGTAGTATTTTGGTCGCTGAGTGTCACTGAGTTTGTGGTAGCAGCTGCCTTGGCGGAGAAGCCTGCTCGGCTAGTGGACCTATCCACTCAGGTGTGGACGAGCCCATTCGTCTCATGTTTTCTATTGAGAAACCTATCCATCCAGCATTTTGACCAGTTTCCAAAGCGCTCCTTGCGGGACATCGAGGGTGGTCTCACAGTCCCAATGAAGGATGCGCAAGTCTGGAAGTCAGAAGTTGAAATTGCTTTGCCAGTCCAACAGAGTCTATGCAAACAGCGGTAGCACATGAAGAATCATGACAATATGTAAAGGAGAAAGCATCATTGATGCAAGGTAGCGGGTAACATGATCATGGTGAATGTTCGGACATGTCACAAGCTCAGACACTGTATTTCTGGAAACAACATGCTTTTTACATCCTTACAAGCAGGAGCGTACAACTGTTTGTTTCCTCTACTCAAGAACAGCCCAAATGTATTTGCACTCAGACAATAAATCGTTCGATCACAGGTTGCCGAAGTTTTTGTCAGCTATTGTTGTATCGTTCAGTTTGCGCCAAGGAGGGTGTTCTACTTTGTTTTCCGCCGGATATGCCTCTGGCAGTGAATGCCCTCAACTCTTCTTGTGCTGGTGCCACTGTTCCAAATGGAGCATGGAGCATCCGCGACATAGAGACATATATCTAAGTCACTGTAATCCAAGTCTATATCCACTGCGTATAGCATTATCTATACACAGATGTGGGATCCTGCAGTTTGGAGTAGGGTATCCTTGTTGGTCCACCTTGGGAGATCGCACGACTGAATTCTGGAGTTTTTCGTGCGCAAACGTTGCGATCACGATGCGCGCAATCTAGAACACCCCTCAATTCGATGAAGTGCGGTCAGACCTAGTGAGTTGCGAACGGCCAAGATGTGTACAGAGCTTGGCATGCACCGCGGAAGGAAAGCTCTGCTGAGTTGCAGATGTTCTCGAATGAAGTCATCATCGTGAACAGCGCGTGCAAAAATGACAAGCTGAACTGTGTCTAGTACAAACCAATTTAGTGGTCTTCATGCATAGGTACGTGGACGTGACTGGACGATACTGGACGTTATTTGCAATGCTAGCAAGGGATGATCCAGGACTTGCACTTTTGACATTCCATCGTGAGTCGCCATGCTGTCCGCTTGCAGCTGCATAGCTCGCCCTCGACAAGTGGATCCATGCACAAAATTCAAAAGAGGGTGCTTCCAAGTGGATCTTGAACTCATGTTATTCTGCAGTTCTAACCACACCGGGAACCCGGTATGCTAAGCCTTTTTGATCAAAGAGAGACTTGATCACAAATTGGCTCTGTGCATTTGAAATTCAATGGTATGCCGCATGCCCATCCAATGTCTCAAAGTACACTTGTTGAATTGGAGTTCAACTATATGGTCATTGAAACTCAAAGAAGGGTAGTCTTGCTAAGCCTGGTCTGGCAGATGGATGCTCTAGACTTGTTCGAGGTGCGAATGCAAAAACTGCAAAGCATGATTTGCGACAATGGAATCAAATCCATGTATGCCCTAAGCCGCTATGCCCAAGAATACAGTGTCTAGAATACTAGAAATGCTTCTCTTGTGCTTTCGGCTCGTCTTGAAAACACATATTCATGTTATTTTCCTTTCACGAAGTTACTTTCGGAGAGTATATGAAGACCTTTGGCAGGTCCAGCTTCTGGAGAGGCAAGTGAGACTTGCCGAGGCTTCTTGTCAGAATAGAAGCCTGAAATGCATCGCATCCAGCGATTAGGTCTATTTTTGCTCACAGCTTTCGTGACTCACTACACTTCAACGCAGTTGAAGGCATTTGCCTTTTTCCCCGATGAAGTGGCCACTTGTTGACTTGTTTGCTTCCCTTGCTGACAGGCTTGATGCTAGATAAATCCAATGATAAAGCATCACCTCAAGTTTCAGTTTGTTAACCATTGTAAGGAGCGTCGTGCTGCTGGAGAGCCGCGTGAAGCAGCAGTGGTCTGAGTTGGTAGAGGTCAAAGCCTTGTGTCGTTTTGTGGGTGCTGAGCTTGTGCAGCAGAGCAAGCAGAAAGCCAGTCGGGGAGGTATAAACCGCGGCCACAGCGGAGCAAATGGGTGAGATGTCACATCAAGCAGGTCATGAACTCTACCGATCTCTCCATACTTGTATCAAAGAGCAGGAATGTTGATGTGACCTGTCACTTCTGGTAGCTGTGGAGCTGGGGAAGTGAAGGAGGGGACACTCAAGGTTCAACTCCAAAACCTAGTAGAGGTCACACACGAAGTTGACGCCCTTCCTTTACGCCATGGCCAAGTCACGATCGCGGTCCCACCGCTAGTGGTGAGCAGTGAAGCAAAGCCGAAAGGCCAAGTGGAAACTCTTTCACATACCATGTTGCAAAACCATGGTGGCTCATGATTTGCTTGAAATCTGACACTGGTGGTTGTTCAATCAACGATCCACTCCTCATACGAAATTCTTCCTTCTTCGCGAGTGAACTCTTCAAAGTCAGTCTTCATAAAGAGTGGTGCCGCCAACTGAATTCGTCATAAAGGGCGTTTGATGCAAGCAGTGATTGCGGCGTTCAAGACAGCTGCGTAGGCAGACTGGTATTCCATGTAGGCCGTTCTCTTTCCAATACCTGGCATGTGTCCTTCAAGGCGACAATGTTCGTGGCTGTGATCACAAAGGAGGTTCAACCTTTTGGCCACTCATCGCTTTGTGGCTCTGAAGGTCGTGTCCGTCTTGGCAGGTCGCCCAACACCGTCAGTGTCGCAGCAAGCACAACCATAACGGCATTGGTGGAAGCGAGCATTGTAGCCAGGCAAGGTCTTCAGAGCACTTGCACTGCAAGAGAGAGCTTGAGTTGGCTGTTCCAGATGAGCGGGGCGGCCTCCTCGAATTTGCTGAAGATATGCACGACGGCAGAAGCCTAGATGAACTCTATGGTGCCATTCACGGAGGGTGTAGAGAGCTTCCTTCCTCTGCTCAGTCGTGGCTGAAATGTTCTGCATCTTGCTCCATGGGCCACAAGAGGGCGACAGGAAGAGTTCATCAGGTTCTTCTTTTTGGAGTCGCTGCATGAACAAGGTGCGATGGCTGGCCAAGCTAAAGTTCCATCCAGTATCGAAGGAGAAGACTTCAACCTTCATGCCCAGGGCCTCAGCCAGTTGAGACAACCGGCTTTTCCTTGCATAGACTTCCCAAAGAAGTCTGGGAGCAGGATGACCTTCTTCACGGAGGACGTTGTCCACAAAGGCATGGAGCTTGTTGAGCTGAGTCTGCGAAGAGTGGAGATCAAAGTCTTCCATCGCTTCACCGGCCTGGTAGATGCGTCCAAGTTGCTCATCAAGTTGAAGGTCGAAGCTTGGTTCCATGTCCAGCTGATCTGAGTCAAAGGCGTCGGTCAAGGCAAGGAGGTATTCTTCATGTTTGCCGAGCACTGCAGTCTGCCAAGGGCGGTCACCGAACTTCGAGCGCTGCTGGGCGAAGTCAATGGTCAACTCAAGGGCTTGGATGACAGGACGACCGATCAGCGTCGGAGTCTCACCCGTCAAGGTGAAGCCGTGGAGCACACCATAGGTGTTGTTGATGAAGAAGGGAAGGGAAGCTTGCAGGCCCAACGGCTGACCTTTTAGTGATCTCCCCGGGGTGGAAGGTTCTCTCACAACGGTGGAGTTGAATGTCGTTGGCGTTGTAGCCAAGCTGCTTGAGGCGGTGTACATACCTGATCAAAGGACCACATCCCATGAGACAGCTAGAAGCGCCAGGGTCGAGCATCGCACAGTCTGGTCGTTCACGGCCATATGAACCCTCGAAGATCGCCAAGGACTGCTCATTCTCGATGGTTACCACGCTCTCAACAGTCTTGGCGTCTGCCAGACGCCGTGGTCGAGGGCTTCGCTGTGGCCGTCTGCGCTGTGCACTGCGCAGTTCGATGGTTGGTTGAACCGCTGCGCATACAAGCGAGTGCCCGAGCGCGTCGAGCTTGTCCCTTTGGATCAGCTTGCTCGCCCTCAGGCTTATTGTATCGGTAGGTGGAGCTCTTTTTTTGCGTTTGCCCTTCCCTTTTCCTTTCTTGCCCTTGCCAAATGCCAGAGCCTTTGTAAGGTGGAGGAGCCTGGGATGATGAAGCTCCTGTGGACTGGTTGTCTTGAAGGGCCACGATTGGCAAGAAGCCCCTGCGCCTTCCTGGCGTCGGTGTAGGAGGGATAGGCTTCGTCGTACTCTGACACGTCAAACTCGGTGTCGGGTTCAGGACGTTCAAGGTCTTCCTGGTAATAGGCTGCATCATCATCAAACTCATCATACCATTCATCACCCTGCTCATCGTCAAGGTAGTAGGTGCCCTCATCCTCGGGTTCCCATTCAGTGGCTTGCGAGTCCAAGGAGCATCCATGGTGTCATCAGCTGCATAGTATAGCCTCTGCCTTTCCCAGTGAAGTTGAAAGAACTCTGCCATCGGCTATTGGTCAGTCCGCCACTTTTGTAGTCCTGGCCAACGATGGCATATTTGTTGTACTTTTGCGCGTTGCAAGGAAGCAGACTGGGTCATGATCATCTGCTTTGTTCGTGGGTGAGCCCCGCTTTGGCCAGAAGGTGCCAACCTTGTACTGCGTCTGGAAGTTGCGCCCCATGTTTCTCAATCTGTTTCAGCTTGTCATCGTGGTCGGTCACGAACTGGAGAAGGGCTTGTCCCTGCTTCCTTTGAAGGTGCTCAAAGTAGGCAGAGAAATCTGCTGGCAGCTCCACCTTGCTATCACAGCGAAAGGCAGAGTCAAGACGAGAGAGGATGTGGTCTAGGGCCTTCTTGCTTGTTCTCACCGCCTAAGGTGTCAAGGGTCTCGACAGTCAAGAAGAGAAGTGGGCGCAAGGGTGGTGAATTGGAGATGAAAGTATGGCTGCGGTGGTAAAAGTGGTGTCGCGAAGCGGCGCGGGAGCTCCCTGGCCGGGAGCCGAGCTCACTTCCGGTAGCAATGGAGCTGGGGAAGTGAAGGAGGGGGACACTCAAGGTTCCACTCCAAGAGGTCACACGAAGTTGACGCGCTTCTTTTACGCCATGGCCAAGTCATTATGGCGGTCCCACCGCTAGTGGTGAGCAGTGAAGCAAAGCCGAAAGGCCAAGTGGAAACTCTTTCACGTACCATGTTGCAAAACCATGGTGGCTCATGATTTGGTTGGAAATCTGACATGACCATTTGCTTTAGCAGGCGAACCCAAGGTTGAAACACACTCCAGAAGAAGGCTTTGAGGCTTGTTGGTCAGCCGAGCACTGCGCGCAACAGCAGCAATCGTTGGACATGACCTTTGCACTGCTGGCATCTCACCCCGACGCCGTTGGCGAGAACTGTGCTCACGTGTCCTTACCAGCTGCCCTTCCTTCCTCCGAAGTAAAGTTCAAATGAAAGAACTTTCAACTGCAAGCCAACAAGCAACTCCAAGATACTTCCAGCTGATTAGTGAGTCTCCACAATGGAAGATAGAGTTTCGACACCATTTCCAAGATTCCGGCCGTTTCTGGGTTAGCTTGTGGAATCACGGCCAAGGTTCGCCGCAATGGTGAGGAGGGTTGTTGGAAGTTCCCATTTGTCAAGGATCCCCATATATGTGCCCGGGAAGGAGGGTTGGACGTAAACGCGTCATGTGGATTGCGCGTCCACATATGTAGCCGTTTTGATTCAAACACCCAGGGCTCGAACTTGCTTTAGGCGCACGCGCTGGATGTTTGGGGCTTTGCTGACCAAGGTTGGCTTGGATGCTCTGAAGCAGAGGCTTGCCGACGCCAAAGCAAAAGTGCAAAGCGCCCCCACAGCCCAGGCACTTATCCTAGTGGTCACTCCTTTTGAATTGTTGTTTTGCAAAGTCTTTTCTTCACACTTTTCCACTCCGACTATGGCAAATTGACGCAGTTTAATTGCTCTTTTTGTGGCGCTACTCTTATTATACAAATATCCAATATCTATATATATATATATAGGTATATATACTTATTTATTGGGCGTCGACAAAAGTTCAGGCTCAAAAGTCCTGACGCTTGTCGCTTCATTGATTTTGCGCAGCATCCTTTGTCTTTGCGGAGCATGGTGAGGCACCGTCAGCGCAAAGCTGCCCAGCAGCTTGCCCGGCAGCTTGCCCAAGCCATCCCAGCTTTCCAGCTCCAGCCTGACACTCAAGTCGGAACAAGGTTTGTACGTTCCAAGTTTCCAAGTTTCCACTGCCGCAACGCATGGACCCCGTTGCTGCAACTGCCTCAGAGGGCACATTTCCCCAGCAGGCTGCGTTGATTTTGTGATCCAGTAGAGTTCCAAAAGACAGCCTGCGTGTGAGTGTGTAGTAGTTGGCAAATGTTGCAAGGCCTTGCTCGGTGGCACCCCTGGAGTACCGTGCTTGGTTGCACGGGCAGAATGAGCAAAATCAACTTTGCAACTGAGATCTTCCATACCCCTACTGGTCTCATTTGTCTGGCGAACAGACATCCAGATTTGCGCGCTATTCACCATTTACTTTTCTGACATCAATGATAATAGAACATTGCTCCAGGCAGGGGGTGTTAATCAGCTGGCTGGTGTGGCGCGCTTCCCGTCAATAGCGCAGGCACGATGCAATTGAACGTGTAGTTTCACGCATTCACACTTGTCACGCTCTTATGACCCCGACTTTGGCTCAAGAAAAAGGGTGCTTTGCATGTTGGCGCTTTTAGGCTGTTGGCTTGTGAATTCAGGGTATCAGCCGTATCGCCAAAGTGCGGTACGCGCCTTTGTCTGTGGTGTCACCGATCCACCCAGGTCCTGCGCAACCCTGAGTTGGCATGGCGGAGATGCCCTCTGCGGCAATTCGAGATGACATGGATCGATTGAGATCGCGCCGGCGATAGAGAGAAGGAGACTTGCGTGAGCCCACTGAAATCTTTCCCTCTGAGAATGGGGATGATCTTATGTCGGAAGCACGCGGGAACACGATGATGCCTGTTGCAGCTCATGCAGGATCAATTGCGACGTCGCCCACGAGTGGCGCGCGTTGATTCAAGGTCCGTTGTTACCAACACTGCCCACTACCATGGGATGATAAACGTCAACTTGGACAAATCAGCTGAGTCGCGGCGTTAGCCGAAGCACGACACAGGGAACTGATGTCCGAGAACGGCGAACAAGTAAAGAGGCATGTTGAATCAATCCACCGCGACGCAAACAACCACGTCCAGGAGCAACTCGAGTTACAAGAGCTAAGGGCTACGTCTTGGGCTGCGAATGAACAGGCCAAGATGAATGCACGTGAAGCAGAAGTGAAGAATGCTGCGTTGACTGAATCTCAGCTGTATCACCGTAATTTGAGCGAACTACAGCAGCAAGCACGCAACCGTGAAAATGCTCTACGGGAAGAGTTGAGAACTCAGACTGAGCTCATTTGTGAACTCCGTGAGAAGATGGAAACATCATCTCGGGGCAACTTTGAGTCAGCTCCGTTCTTAGGAAATCTGAGAACAATTCTACCTGGACCAATGGCGTCCAATGAGCTTCCATTGAGGGCTCCATTTCAAGGAGCGCAAAGATCCGCCACCAATAATTCCGGGGATCCTTAGTGAGGCTCTCCTGCGGGCTCACCTGGACCACCTAGCTCGCCAGGCTCATCATCATCCGATGACAAGAAGAAGAGCAAGAAGGACAAGAAGAAAAAGAAGAAGGATGACAAAGACCAAAGGTGGGGAAGATCATCCCACAAAAAGCACAAAAAGAAAAACAAGAAGGGGTCGCCATCTCCGTCAGAGTCACCTTCATCTTCGAGCTCATCTTCTGAGGATTCGTCCGTTGCCCGTAAGGAGAAGGGGGATCGTGAACGGAGGGCAGAGAGGCCGAGAAGATGTTGATCCCCAAATTTCCTGCGCCTGAAAGGTATGGGGACTGGCGAATTAAAGTTCGCGTCAGCTGCGTCTGCAAAGTGCCAGACCAGGCCAGGATTGTGGCTAGGTAAGGTATACGAAGACGCTGTGACCGCTTTAAGGACCTGGACGATTCGGAAGATTTCACGACATTGGACGCGAAGCTCCTCTCAAGTTTGACCCACTGTGCGGAGGGGGACCTTGCTCGCCAATTGAACACATTTAATGAAACGAAAGAAAAGGCAAAGGAACCCATCAAGGGTAGACATTCTTCTGCTGTTCCATGAATACTTTGCCACATCCATCAAACACGGTGCTATTTATGATGTTGAGGACCTTATCTGTGCGAAGATGGTGAACGAGGGTCTCAAAGGTTTCGTGACCCGTTGCGAACCTGTCATTGCAGGAATGCGTACTGAGGTCGACAAGAAATGGCTCGGTGCATATTTTCACCTAGCGGACCCGCGGTGAAGAATTTCAGAGGGGAGCGCCGAAAAGACATATGACTTCCTGATCAAGTCTGCAAATGGCGTGCCTTGAGAGGAATCGTCTTGAGAAGATGAGGGACGCCACAGTCTTGGAGGTAAAGATCTTGCAGCGCCTGTGGTTGATCCAGGTGACAAGAAACCCAAAGGTGTTTGTTACGAGTTTCAGAACCAGGGCATCATATAAGTGCAGTAGGCGCGACTGCCTATTCAAGCATGAGAAACCCCGTGAATCCAGCAAAGGAAAGCCCAAAGGTAGTGGTAAGGGCAAATCCTCATCTCGCGGAAGGTCGCTGACCCCAGGTTCCAGGTCTGAGGTACGCAAGTTTTGGAAAGCTGGCGATTGTCATAAGAAGAAACGCAAGAAGAAGAAGAAGAAGAAGAAGAAAATGAAGAAGAAGAAGAAGCAGGGGGGGAGGAGGAGGAGGAGGAGGAGAAAGAGAAGAAGAAACGAAGTACTTCTCGGGGCTCCGGAGGTTCTGGCGGTAGTCAGGAATCCAAAGGTGGAAAAGGTTCTTCTTCTAAGCCAGCTGCTTTTTGCCTGCTGCGCACTCTGGTCTTGGCGTCTGCGGTCTCATCATTGCAGTTTGCTACTATCAGCTATCAGTTGCCCGTTGGGAAACGTGGCCATGGTTGCTACTCCTGCTACCAGCTCATCCCCGTCATCATCATCATCATCATCATCATCAGGACATGGGATTGAGAAACGTCTTTCGTTTGTTGGTGAACCAGAAATCTTTAAACACGTGGTTCATGATGATTCTTTACTGCGTGTTTCCAGTCGTTGTACATGAACAACGCAAGCAAGCTTGTCAGACTTCGGATAGGCCATAAAGGGAATCCTGAAGTTTTGGAAATGGCATCAGAAGATGCATGTATACTGCAGCTGACCGTTTGAGCCGCGCCGTTTCAAACGAGCTGAACGGCGTCGAGGCGCGTTGTCGGTTTTTATGTGACTCCGAGATTGGGCGCAAACATTGCTTTCGAATCAAAGATCCAGCAATGCCCACGATGGAGATTGCATGCATTGCCGACACTGGTAGCGCCAATGACCTCGTATCAAGGGAAATCACTCAAACCCGTCAGTCTCCTTGCCGGAGAACGGGGTATTTCTTGCGAACGATCAAGCAAAGATCAAGATCCCATTGCTGGGAACCACTTATGTGCTCGATGATAGCCCTGCACTGATCTCAGTTGGTCAACTTTGCGTTGATAAAGGTTCGGTTGGTCTTTTGTTTGCCCTGCCAATGGCAAACCTTGAAGAAACCCAGCGGTGAGAAGCTTGTCTTTAGGATCAAAGACTATGTTCTATACTTGCCATCATCAACCGGCATCGCAATGACGGCTCTTGGATATAAATACGAAGATGGTGCTCCTGGGAGCGGCAAGCCTTCTTTCATCCCTATTCCTACAACACCAAGTGTTGATGAGGCTCCGCCTGAACCCGTCGCGCCAGAAACCGAAGCTGTCGATGCCAGGCTGGCGCCGATCCGCCTCCTGAGAAGCGTGATCGCGGGGGAACAAGCTTTGAGGTGGGAAGCGAAGTCGCTTGCCAATTTGTTGGCGCATGTTCCAAAGAACCCATTTTGCAATATACGTGTAATAGAGCTAAACCGACAAAACCGCCGTCGTACAAGAAGGGAGGTTCGGAAACTGTTGTTGCGGACAAATTCGGTGATCATCTAACCGCTGATCATCTCATCCTCCGGGATGATGGGGAAGAGGATAACGCTGAAGAACTTGTCAAAGCCGCAACTGAGCTGAGATGGAGACAGGTCACAAGGGCCCCTTACATTTCCAAGACAAACGCTCAGGCGGAGCGCAACATCCGATCCGTTCTCGGTGGAACCCGCATCAACTTGGAACAAGCGGGGCTTCACCACAACTACTGGAACATTGCTGCATGGCGCGCAACATCCTCGGTGAGCAGGAAGCTCAAACACCGGGCCCAATGATTCCTTTCAGCGTTAGGATTGACTATTGGACGGACAAAAAACCAAAACCAAACAAAAATTGAAGTTCGATCCGACATCCTGGCCCGGAATTTTTCTTGGGTACAAGATTCGCCCTGAGTTTTCATGGAGAAAGAAGTTTCTTGTTCTTCTTCTTAAGGACGTTATGGACAACAACTTCGAAGACAGTGTGCCATGGGTCAGTACAAACAAGCTCACGTTGCCTGATAGACATTTCGCTTTCCCTCTGAAAGACAGGTATAATGCTGTCCGCGCGGGTCGCATTCCTGGTTATATGGTCTCCGACGATCCTCCCAAACTTGAAGATGAAGGTGCAAAACGGGTTGAAGAGTTGATCGATAAAAGTCCAATGGAGATACAAAAGAAATCTGCCACCGATGAACTTGTTGATCTTCCGAAGAAGGATGCCTTCGAAGAGGGGATATATGATCCTGAAGTTGGTGAGGAAGGTAAAGGAGGATCACCTTCTTCCTCGTCAAGCAAACCGGAAGGTGTTGTGAAGGATCCATATGATAGTATACCGCCTGAAGAAAGGATGGAGGTCATCGATCCTACTACTGGTGAAGTGACTTCTATCCCTGAGGAAGGATCATCATTCTACAGCGCTGGGGGATATAAGACGAGAAAATATAAAGTCACGTTCCATCGTTTCTATGGAAGGCCGCTTCCAAGGCAGCGCGCGAAAAGGAGATTAGGAGGCGCAAGCTTGAAGAAGCAGCCAAGGTCAATCAAATCACCAAAGATGATCCCTCTTCCCCGAGGGATCGGGTTGACCAAGAAGATGGTGCGCCAGCTACGCCCGTCAAACCCGACATGATCTTGAACGCGCTTGTCGCCAGACCGGTTGGCCCTAAAGAGGTCACAGTGAGAATCCTGCTGCTCAGGCATCGCGTGATCTCGAATGGAACAAACTCGAGAGCAAACCAGCCTGGTGGTACAACACGGCTCAGGAGTGGGGAGAGCGTACCTGCTGAGGCTAGGCGTACTGGTGAAAAGGTTCATGTATAGGGAAGATCTTTGAACTTTGTGTTGAAAAGGGTAGCGAATTAGAGAAAGGCAGCCCGCTTAGGAAGTTCAAAGGAAGAACTGTGTTTCAAGGCAACAACGCTAAAGATGAGTCTTCTGAGACGGCGTTGTTTGCGGAGCGCGGTTCATCGCCCGCTAATATTGAGGCAGGAACCGGATTAGCCAGGGGGACGGGAAGCATGCGTATACCCAAACTACTCTCAAAGGACCAGACGTGGATTCGTACCCCCAAGA